GGGACCACGTTCGGAGGGGTTGTTGAGTAACTCGGTGACCCAGTTATGCAGCCGGATGGATTGTGGAATTCCCGATGACGGCTGAGCTCCGGCCAAATTCTTTACGGATTGAAAAAGTCACTTTTCACACACGCCGCCATCAATGCAGCCCTCCTCCCCAAGTGGAAGGCACTGACCCACATAAGGAAAATCCCTTCAGTTCTTTTGGAGTTTTACATCATCCAAATCACACAAGATTAACCTCTTGACCGGCTTTTTCTTTTTCTTTTTTCAGACAAAACCGAGACAGTTTCCTTACGTAGCCATAAACTGGGTTAAATACTCCTGAGATTGGACTCAGAAGACTTTACGGCACAGGTGGCATGCTGTGACTCAGGCCTCTACTGTCAGGGATTTAGTTTTGATTTAAGGAGGACAGATCAGCCCAGGAAGCTTCTTTGTTATTGACAATAAAAGAAGTCATTTGAGTCATTAGGGCAAAACATGACCAGACATGTGGGAAACTATTCCCGAGAATTCAGGGGGCATTTGCTGGTTATCCCGGGTCTTTAGGAGTGGTTGCATAAACAGATTAGGGTAGTTAGTTTTAGGCTTGAGGGTCCCAGAGGCCTGATTAGCTCTTTAGTTCTCCTATCTGAAAATCTGGATCGCCTGAAGCAGCTCGCCAAACAGAGCTCCCTCATTCACTTCGGCTCTGGGGGAGATTTTAAGACCGTCTGGAGGCAATCCAACTTGAGCTTTTTGGGGTTCCTAGTTTTGAGGTTCCTTTCATTTGAGCACAAAGTCATGCATGAAAGTCTGAGATCTGATTACATTTTTTTAAAATAAGAAATTCAGTAGACTAGAAAGGGTCCCGACCCGGATTCAAACCACAGCCAGGCTAAACCTTCAACCATTAATGCAAAGAGATTTGGCATTCGGAGTCAAACCTGTGCACAGTGTGCAGTTCTGCATGAGCTCGTGTGATTAAGCCTTTTCAGGGGCAGTTTCCTGTTGAGCACTTTGATGTGTTTGGAGAACAAGTTAGTTGCATTGTGAGTATCTCATTAAGACAATAATGAGCCTAAAACACAGATAGTGGAAATATCGTCAACATGGCATTTTTAATCAGAATTTATTGCTGACTGACCTGCATTGCCCTCTACTGGTTTGATTTGTACCTTACAAATTAGTAACCAATAATCCGAAACATGAACAGTTGCATTACATTTTATCATCTTCAGCCATATAAACACTAAATTAATGTTTATAACACTCTAAACCTATATCTAATAGGTTATGACTAAAATTATATCTGCAATCTTTCTTAATGACACATTTGTTGGTGTGTTACTGAGCTTTTATGGAAACTAAAAAAGGTTTAGGCTCCCTAAATAACTCACTAGGAGACCTGTTTGCTGCTCATCTGCTTCAGAGGGAAAGACTTCAAAAAAGCTTCCCAAAAGCTATCATCGTGAGACTATTCTCTGTGATGAATGAGGTTATCCGTAATGAATTAGTATTTCATACATAATTGATAAATAGACTAAATGACACAAAACACGGTCAATTTTTTTTCTTTTGTAAGAAAACCGTGCTTGGAAAGAAAAAAGACAAAACCTTCCAATTATTCACTTCAAGTTGTTTAATTATTTGGTTCAAATTGTGCAACGTCAAATCTGTAATTACTTTTCTGTTTATTAATGTTAACAGACGAGTTGAAGGGGATATTTCCTAATTTGAAAGATAGAAGTAAAAATACTCTGTTTCCTCAAAGGATAGACTTAAAAAATAAGAACTGAAAAGGACTTGAAAAGACTTGCAGAGACACCAGTTGGAGAATCCAGATATGATTACGTTGTATATCCAGACCAGCAATTCCCTACATCTTTTTTTTCAATTTAGAAATAAATTGCATCCTTTTGAGGTGTGACGCTGGCCGGTGATCGACGAGGTAAGTTATTGCACCACGTGGGATGGCGAACGCCCACGTTCCCTACTTTGCGCGGGGCTGTCAGCGTTTCTGGGCGTGAGTTCCTAAGTGGTACTTGAGGTGGGTGCTCTGCAGGAAGCCCCGGCCGCAGAGCTGGCAGCGGTGCGGCCGCTCCCCCGTGTGGCTCCGCATGTGCTTCCTCAGGTGCCCGCTGTGGGTGAAGCCTTTGCAGCAGAAGGAGCAGCAGAAGGGCTTCTCGCCTGTGTGGATCCGCATGTGGATCTTCAGGTCTCCCTTGCGGCTGCACTCTTTGCCGCAGACGGGGCAGCGGTGCAGCTTGACGCCGGCGTGGCCGGCCATGTGCTCGGTCAGGGCGGTGGTGCTGGTGCAGTGCTTGCCGCACACGTGGCAACACTTGGAGATCTTGTGGGAGCCGAGGTGCGCGTCCAGGCTCTCCGTGGACTCGAAGGCGCCCCCACACACCGCGCACGTGACGCCGGCGTCCTTGGAGTGAAAGCGGAAGGCGTGATTTATCAAGCGGTGGCTGGAGGAGAAGGACTTGCTGCACAAATGGCAGCAATGGCCCACTTTCGGGACGGAGAAGTCTGTGGACTCTGCGCAGGGGAAGGAGGAAGCCCGGCCCGGTTCTTTTTGTGTTTGGTCTGATATAAACACGGCAGCGGTTCCTTTATCCTCCCTTCCACTTTGCACGCCTTCATCATGAGAAGACAGGCTTGAGGAGAGATGTAACGGGAACTGTTCTGTCTGCTTTACGGCTTTCTGCGTCTCCTGAGATCCGTGCAGGGATTCGCAGTGTTCTTTCGGGGCTGGCAGAAGCGGTTTAGCGTCCTCCTGCCTGTTTTCCTCCCAGACAAAAGAATGAGGAGGGCCTAATGCGTCGGCCTCAACGTCCGCCCGCTCTATGTCCTCTTGCTCAGCGGCCCACAGCTCGCGGTCCTCTTCTTTAATGTGTCGGGGCTCCGGGTCCCCCTGACGCTCGCTGAGGCTCGGCTCCTGTTCACACTGCTGCTGTTCACCGAGAGCTTCCCCCGTACAGACAGGCGAGCAGGCGACAGCTGAAATAAGAGACAAAGCAAAGATTAGAACCTCCCCAAACATTAGAAACAGTCACTTTTTATGGAATAATGTTACATTCCTTTTTTCATTCCTACAATTTCACACATAAAGATGGTGTCTCTTTTAAATCTTCATATTTCTAAATGAAAACACGCCTCACTTTTGGAAACGAGATAGATCTGACATCTAGATAGGAAAACAACTTCAGGAAACATTAAAAATATCCATACATAGTTATCATAAAACATGTAAACCATGCAAACAGATAAAGAATCTTTCTTTAAATCAACAATTGTAAAAGCTGATAAACAAAAGGCTGATAGTTGATCATAAATACCCAGTCAAAGTGGGATAACATTTTTTTGCATGAATACAAATCCAGAAATTAAATAAATGTATTTTTATAGCATATTCTTAAAATAGTTGTCCTCAATCTAAATATAACCTACATGATCTAATAAACTGCTTTAATTTCCACAACATTTACATGAGATAAAGTTAGATACATCACATGTAGTATAGGAAGTAAGTGTTCCATCTAAGCTTTATTATTGATGGAGGGACAGCACGGACCTGCAGCCCTTTGCTTTGACCCGAGCCCCGGCAGCAGAGCCCTGAGCCGATCAATCTCCTGCTTGGAGCTGCACGCTTCCTCTTCGTACTTTGCTATTGTTCGTTCAAACACCTGGAATATTTCCTCAGCAGCCCTCGTCAGCCGCTCGTTCACGAAAGCCCTGAGAAGTAGCGGAGACATTGTCATGGGGATGTTTGGGACGTGGACGCCAACGATCCCGGTAGGCAGAGGTTTAACAACACATTCCGGAAATTAGCCGACGCGCTACGGAAGTAGCGCTACACGAAGATACAAAGTGCGCATGTGCTGCCCTCTTCCGGCCACAATCGTCATCACACCTTCCGGATTTTTTTTCCTGTCCTAAAATCCCCTCAATTCCATGAAATGTTTTTTTTATTAACGGTCACGATTTGCTGGAATAAGACCAACTAAGAATAAGTGGCATGGAAACTGAATAAATAAGAATTCATTGTTTTCTTTCTTTACTTTACTTTTTTTCCTTACAGAGATAGTGAGTAAAATGTGTTTTGGTGCAAATTGAGTTCTTTGGGATAAAAAGACGAAAGAATTTAACACAAACTGAAATCAAACTGAATGTGGCAAGAGGCAAAAGATATCAGGGATGCGAAGGCAAACATAAATTCTCAAACTCCAGTTTCCTTTGATGTGATGTGTTTGTTGGAAACGGGTGACTGTAACGACCTCCAACAGCACGCGATGATCCGGCCAAGCCGGACCGTCTCCATGCAAAGAGGTCACTGTGGAGATGACTGCGTAACGCTAGTTTGTTAATGTAAGGGTAAGTCACGACCCACTGCCCAGCGTTCCCACCCAGATGACCATCTGTCCCACACTGAGCTCAGGGGAGATGAAAGGTCGGTCGTGATGTGAGATGTACCCGGCACTGCTGACATCCATCTGGAGCAGTTAAAAACAAACCTGAAGATAGATAGATAGATAGATAGATAGATAGATAGATAGATAGATAGATAGATAGATAGATAGATAGATAGATAGAT